CTTCTACAGGGTAAAGGGACTAAAAGTGCTCATTTTCAAGATGGAAGAAAAAAACCAGCTTATTGCTTAAAGCCAGAGGCTGTGATGAGATTTTCTTATTTGTGAAAGAAATCTGGAAAAATCCTGTCCATCAAACTTCTGGAATGCTTAGTTGAATAGAAACTCTGGGCTTAGTGAGGTGGGAAAACTCAGATGTAATGTCGTGATTACAAATTCATAGAAGCTCTACTGTGGCCCCATGATAGTACCCAATATGATAGAAGGTTGGCAGCCCCACTCATCGTGATAAAACCTGGCTTAGAACTGGGGAGGGCTGTAGAAAATGAAGTGGAGCAAGTGCAAAACTACTGAGGAATAGGGAATAATGAGCCCAGAGGTAGAGGAAAAAAGAAGCAAAAAACATCTATGCCAGATAACCTACACAGGGCTATTTTTCATTAATTGAATCACAAGTTTTGTCTAGGCTCACAAAAGTGAAATGAAGATGTTTTTGTAGAAGAATGTGTCTTTGTTTAAGCTAAATAATAGAATTACTTATTTACTATTCATTATAATTCTAAAAGTTAACTTTTTTTTATGGTGGGCCATCGAATTGGAAATTTTCCAGTCTTAGTTTTAGTAGGTATTTGCCAGATAATTTAGAGACTACACTTGAGAGGCTTGTTTGGTTCTAATTGCCCAAGTCCTATTTACTGCCTTTGTGAATCAGCTGAAGGCAATGTTTACCAGTAGAAAAGTGTCAAAAACTTTGGGGGCACCATCTCTCCTCCCTGTTACATGATTAACTTCAGAGACATACTAAGGCCTTTTATGTATTAATATCCCAGAATTCATTCAGATTTGTTGTTGGAACTGAGGACCAAAATCAAAGAGGGAGGCATCAGAGGAACTGATATTCTTTGAACTCTGCCAAGGGCTTTACCTATGTTTTCTCTTTAATTTACTCCTCACAAAAAGTGTACAAAGCAGTACCCCATGTTATAAATGGAAGCTCTAAAGACCAGAAAGAATAAATGACCTGTAAAACTTACATCACTAGTAAGTGGTAGAGACATTCATTTTGACTCGAATATCCCTAGAACCCCCTAAATCATAGTATGGTGATTAAAGATCTGCTGTATTTGTCCAGTTAAAAAAAAAAACCAGCCCTGACTGGTGTGATTCAGTTCAGCATTGTCCCACTAAGTGAAAGGTGACCGTTTAGATCCTGGTCAGAGCACAAGTCTGGGTTGCTGGTTCAGTCCTGGGGCGGGGCAGGTACTAGAGGCAACGGATCGATGTTTCTCTCTCACATTGATGTTTCTCTCCCTCTTTCTTCCTCCCTTCCCCTTTCTCTAAAAATAATTAAGTAAAAATCTTAAAAAAAATAAACATAGCACAAGGCAGTTCAGTTATCTGTTGCCAAATGATATTTTATTAGCTTAATAACTTGGGCCTGCCCTTAGCATTAATAAACTTCAGCACTAGTCATTAAGATTTTTATTCATGGGTGGGGAAATTTTTTGTTTAAAAAAATTCAGTTAGAGAAAGGGCATCTACTTCTTGGGGGCTGCAGCGACCGCAGGCCTCTCTTCGCGAGTGATGGGAATGGTGCGCTCAGGGCCAGAGGCCTGTTTCCTTGGTCCATTCACACTGAGGACCCCATCAGATGACAGGGATGAAGTAATTGCAAGAGGGTCCACATCTGCTGGGATGCGGTATTTTCTGTGGAACTCCCGGGAAATGAAACCGTGTTCATCCTATTCCAAGAGAAGGAAGAAAGAGGCAGAGAGATAAGAACAGGAAAATCACAACACTTGTTTAGAACTTAGACATCTTCCTTCCCCTTAGGTGTGACCAAATGCCATGGCAACATGAGAGAAAGCTTTTCTGTTTCGGGCTAAAATGAAGTTGTCCAGGTGGTCACTTCTACCAATGAGAATCTGAGAAGTTAGAAACAGGCAGAACTTCACAGCTCTCCCAACCCTGGGGCATGGATATGTTTAGAGGTATTTCCCAAAGGTTTAGATCAATGTGTGTTGGGCCTACAGATACGGACTATCATCCAATACTGAAGATCTAAGGCCCTGAGAGAGCTCAGAAATTATCCTGACTCTTTAGGAACATCCCAGAATATTCCAGATCAATAGCTGGAATATTCCGCTAATTCTGCTATTCTGGAATATTCTGCTAATTCTGCTATTCTGGAATTTTTAAATAGCTGCTAGCTATTTAAAAAAAAAAAAGACAAATCCATCCAGGGAGACTGTGACCCAAACCTAAATTATATATGCAAAATGGAAACAGTCTGAGCACCTCAAACTATACTGTTTGATGGATAAGGTTCTCAGTTATCAGAAACTGTTAAGAAGCAAGTTCATTAAAAAACCTTCCCAGTAAGAAATGAGAAGCTATTCCATTCTTCAAAATTCTGCTAAAGAGTAATTGACCCTAACCCTTGTACCTGCCGAATCTCAAGCATTTATCCAGATAGGTTCTCAGCAGATTTTCACTTGGGCTCTAGGGTATTAGAAGCTGAGTATAAACTTAGGCAAATGAAGAAGTTCAACGTTATGGTGGACTAAAGAGAAGGGGATTCTTGAATATCAAAAAGTCCCAAACTCTAGGGCATTCAGACTGCATGTAGTTAATGTAATTATATAAAGCAACCAGGTATCCAACAGGCACTATGCCTAAATCATTGCTCCTCAACCTTGATTGTACATTACAATTATCTAGGGAACTTTTAAAAATGCCAATACCTGTGTTCCATCCCTAAAAATTCTGTTTTAATTGGCCTCAGCATTGCAATTTTTTAAAATTCTCCTCCTGGTTCTAAAGTGACAAAGGTTGAGAACCACTGGCTTAAATAGTAAGTGAACATCCCAACTATATCATCTAAGGCAACCAATTTAAAACAAACAAAAAGCAACCACGATCACTTCTCTGGCCAAAACAATCGCCAGGTCTATCCCCATGTTCAAACCCCAGTGGCTCAGGACTGAAATGTGGCCAGCCTCAAAGGCTGATGGCAGTGTCTGGCACATAGTATGCACTGAATGAATGAAAAGAAGAGAAAACAGGTTACATGCCTGGCGTTCTTCATGTTTGCCATGCACCTCAATCACATCTCCCAACACCTTGACCTTGAGTTCCTCTGGGGAGAAGTGCTTCACATCCAGGTTGACAGAGAATCTGTCTTTCTCCAGACGCATCTAGAAATGGCAGGGTGGGAGAAAGAAGTAGAAAAAAGATGGTGGGAATGTGGATTACTATTGCGGTATCATCATTCTGCAGACTTGCTTTCTTACAGGTAGTTTACCTTCCTCTTTTTGGTTAAAAAAAATCTCTTTTTGAATAAACATGGCCCTCTGGTTCAGGGGAGCCACCACAGTGGTACCCTAGGTATACCACTTGGTCATCAGGCCCAAACTTTATTTACAGGGACAGGGAAGAAGACGAGTCACCCAGGGGACCAATTAGAAGGATAAGTCTGGGCATGGCTTCTGCTGCTTTTCTGACCCCAATGCCTGGCCTTGTCATTTGTCTGTGAGACAAAGGACCCTTCTTCTTGCTCAATTGTCTGCCAAGTTTCCCACCCACTCAATCTGGAATGTTCTGCTGGCCTGACTGTCCTTCCAAAGCCCTTCCCCACTCAGCTCCTGTTTACTCACACTTGGATATTTTTAAACCAGAGTTTTATCTGTAACAGCTTCTGTCAACCTTTTATGTTCACCCCATTCTACCTCTTAGGACAAGTGGGGGGGTCCCAAGACTGGACCTATATTCTTTCTTCCTTATACCTGGATCCAGACTAGTGCCCAGTCACAGCCCCAAGAAACCCAGAAAATCACAGAAGAGGAAATGAGAAGGAAGAAAATTGTGATTGCTGTCTCCAGCTCCACATGGTGCGGATAAAAGCTCAGGATGAAGTAGGGCTGTCTCCTGGCTCTGAAACTTGAAATGATAAAATTTTTCAGGAGTACGAGGTATTAGAAGTGATAGGCAAAGGAATCTGAAGGCAGCTCTTTCCTTGTAGATCCTTATGAACCAAACCAGAGAGAGGTGTCCTACTTAATATTTAGGGGATAAAAGATCTCCATATCACATGGAAAAAAACATAGTAAGTAGGATACAGAGGAGCATTGAAAACAAATGTGACTGGGGGAGAGAGGAACTAGCAACTTTATCTTTCTTCATTGCAGGATGCACAAGTGCCTAAAAAACTTAAGAAACTTCGACGTAGCCAGATTTAGAGAGGAAAAGCAGGGCAGCTGGACCTGTTTCCAGAAACCTCAGGAAACTCTCCTGCTCTGTATAGGGGAGACTTACCTCTGAGAGCCCAGTGTCAATCCAGCTGGGTGCCCGCAGGAACGATGGCAGCCGAAGGTAGAAAGGGCTCAGGGATGTAGAACTTGGGAAGAGATCAGACTCCAGCAGGTGCTCTCCAAAGAACTGGTCAAAGAGGCGGCTGGGGGAGTGGAAAGGAAAGAAGGGGCGGCGGATCCAGGGGTGGTGGATGGCGATGTCCATGGCGGCTGGTGAGTGTCTGGGTAGGCTGTCAGCTGGCTGGTCAGCTCCTTTCAGCAGCAGCTACAGCCAGTCCTTATATACGCACTCTTGTGAAGCTTCTGGAATGATGATGTCAGGGGTTTTATTATCCCAGCTCACCACTCTTCATGGAGACTTGTGATTAGGGATTTGGCAGTGTGACACATACCCAGTACTCACTGAGCTAAGAAAAGAGAAATACAAACACGTCTGAGCTGGTCAGTGACTTGTGCCGGACTTGTGTTCACTAGCTTTCTGGCCACACCCAATGGTACCCTGCCCCCCACCGGTTGGGACACAGTCAGGAATCCCAAGCAGGCGGATGGTGTGTCCCTCCTCCTCTCCAGCCCAGCCAGCCAGGGGTATGGGGCCAGCAACTATCTTGGGCTCGGGCAGGAACTGGAATCTTCCTTGGCGGGGCCCCAGAAACATTAACTCTTTGTGGGTTCCAGGAGGAAAGCAGTGATCACCAGCATGTCACTGGCAGGCATCTGTGTGGTGCTAGAGGTTGACCTGGGTTCTGGTGAGGACACTGACATTCATCTGGGCAGCAAGACCCCTCACCACGAACCAAAGAAAGGGTAGAAAAGTTTCCTGCATCTTTCACCATACGTGGATCACAAAACAGGGTGCTTGCGACTACGGAGGAGAAAAAATGGTGTGGGAAATGTGCAAACCGGGAGGGTCTCAGCTAGGGGCTCTCCGGGACCTCTGACCAGCCTCCGCGCCCAGCTCACGCCCCAGCAAGGACCCCCCAGCTGTCCTCGCTGGTCCCCTGCAACAGCTGAAGGGTGTGCTGGGGAGGGGACGGGGGTCCAGGCAGCGCTGGCCAAACACTGGTGCCTGGCCCTCAGGGCCCCCACTGTTCTCCCCTCCCCCAGCCTCTGCACTATTTTGGGTGGTGTAGACCCCGCCCCCACCTCCGTCTGAGCCCTGGCTCTTCAGGCAGCTGGAGGGGTCGCACTGCTCCGCGGACTAGGGCTGCCCACTCGTCTGCAGTCATGTCTGGCCGCTCGGTGCCACATGCCCACCCGGCCACCGCCGAGTACGAATTTGCCAACCCGAGCCGCCTGGGCGAGCAGCGCTTCGGAGAAGGTACGGCACAGACGCCACTCATTTGCCTCCCACCCCCACTGCCTGAAATTCTGGGCTGGCCTCCCAACAGTGCTGGCGTCCACCCCATTCCGGGCTTAACTGAACCCCTGGGCCGAGCCATCTCCTACCCCAGTTCCCCCCTCACCCCCTCCAAGCAGGGCTCTTTCTCCTTCCTCCTGACCTCGCGCAGACGTGATGCGCGCTGTGCTCTGGCACCTGCCGCCGGCCTTCTCCTTCCCCGTTCCCCTGGTGTCTCCCCAGCTCTGCTCTGGTTTGGCCTCCTCCGTTCCCATCTCATGTCCTTTCTCAGTCCCCTGTCCCCAGCTGCCTCCTTCTAGTCATTGCGTTCCCCTCCCAGCCATCCCTACTTCTCCTGACCCCCATCCTGCTCAACCTAGTCCCCATGTCTTACTTTACCCGCCTTGTGCCTCATCCTGCCTCCTGCCTTCTCTCTCTCTGCCCCTCAGGCCTCCTGCCAGAAGAGATCCTGACCCCCACCCTCTACCATGGCTACTATGTTCGGCCCCGGGCCACCAGAGCCGGGGAGGGCAGCAGGGCAGGGGCCTCTGAGCTCAGGCTCAGTGAGGGCAAGTTCCAGGCATTTCTGGATGTAAGCCACTTTACCCCAGATGAGGTGACCGTGAGGACTGTGGACAACCTGTTGGAGGTGTCTGCCCGGCACCCCCAGCGCCTGGACCGCCATGGCTTCATATCCCGAGAGTTCTGCCGCACCTATGTCCTGCCTGCTGATGTTGACCCCTGGCGGGTCCGCGCTGCTCTCTCCCATGATGGCATCCTTAACCTGGAGGCTCCTCGGGGTGGTCGACATTTGGACACAGAAGTCAATGAGGTCTACATCTCCCTACTTCCTGCGCCTCCTGATCCAGAGGAAGAGGAGGAGGCAGCAGCGGGAGTTGAGCCCTGAATCCCACAGACCCGGTATCCAGCACTTTCTACCTCCCGTGGTGATGCGGCAGCTGCCATCACCCCAGAGGTAGCAGCACCCTTTGGGGAAAGGGAAAAGTGCATGGGCCACAATGTATGGTTTGGTCCCTTGGGACATGTCCTAGTCTCTGGTTTAGTTCTGGGTGGAGGTGAATAAACCCAAATCTCAGGGCCGTGTTTGTGCTGCTTCCTATTCTGTGGCCTGGAGGATGGGGTGGGAAGGGAGGGGGGAGGTCATAGATAGGGAAAAAGTCCTCAGTTAGATGTACCCAGTGTTATAGAAGCCTGAGCTCACACAGGGATGCTGAGATCACATCCGGAAGCTGACACTGGCTCCAGATCAAATTCCTAGCCATAATTTTCTCACAGTGCAACAAAAGAGAGAGTGATCCTGGGAGGGAAAAGGGATATACCATCCAAACAACCCGGAGGGCACTGTCTGGGCTGGTGATTAGAGACACAAAAAACAAGGGTCTCCAGACTGTCTGGCTTGTTTGGGGTAGGGGTTAGAAACAGATTTTGGCTGGAGAGAGTTGCCTAAAGCCCTCTTTTCCCATACTGAGGTCGGTCCATGGAAAACAGACCTGATTCTGAGGGAACAAGTATGTATACACAGAAGCACAGACACAGAAATGTCTGCCATTGTCTCCCTACCCTATACACAGGGGAGGCCCATGAGAGAAAGCTTTTGTTTCATATCTTGGAACATCCCATAGAGAGGAATCACTGCATCACTCCACATAATCTGACACTAAATGCAAGGGATCTAGGGCTACCGGTATGATTGTGATGGCCAGGGAAGTGTACTTCGGAAGTAGTGTTATTACCAGTATGGTGTGTGCAGGAAAGTCTGGGAGTCTGACCCCTCTCTACTCTCTGTAATAAGAAAGCGTGCATGTGTATGATTTGGGGAGTGTCCAGAGATCTCTCTGTCCTCAAATATATATTTTAAGAGACTGTGGTGAACGTCTGAAATTCTTCCATTAACGTGGTTGATTCTTAAATTTGTTTGGGTTACTGACCCACATGAAAATTGGACAAAAGTTATAGATACTCTTACCAGAAAAATACATATGCTCCCAAATTTGGCATGTAACTTGAATAGAGCTATTGAGGTCCATTCATATGCCCCTCTTAGGGGTCTGTGCAACCCCAGGATAAGAACCCTCACTTAAAGAATCCAACAATTGGTTAAAGGATTGCTATTGACTTAAAATGAAAGCATGCTCTCTGGCTGGGTGGCTCAGTTAGTTAGAACATCATGAACATGGAAAGCTTGTGTATTTGATTCCCCGTCAGCGCACATGCCTGCATTGTGGGTTTGATCCCCAGCTGGGGCACATATGGGAGGCAACCAATAAATATTTCTCTCACGTCGATGTTTCTCTCTCTCTCTTTGCCTCAAATCAATAAACATATCCTCAAATGAGGACCGAAAAAAATAAGTAGATTTTAAAATTAAAGCATGCTTCAAAGAAATAACTGTTCATATATTCATTTGTTCATTCATTCAACAAATATTTATCAAGCCCCAAGTGATATACTATAGGGGATACATATTGTAAATATTAATTATGGAAGCTATGGTCTTTTATTTTATACTCTTAGAAATCTTAGTACCTAATTGAAAAGAAACATAATTTTAAAATATCCCACTCTGACTTCAACTGAAACAGCTTCACATTGATCTGTTTTGTAACTGGGGTTCTTATATGAGCTTTATTTAAAAGAAAGCGATCCTTAACTAGAAAAATCCAAGACCTTTGATTTGGTCTAAATCCCCATACCATCCATGTTTTTTAAAAATTATTAGTCAACTTCTAAAACATTTTGAGTGACTGAGAACTAAGAATTTCACAAAGTAGGACTTCTGGCCAAGATGGAGGCGTAGGTGGAAACACCGTGCCTCCTCCCACAACCAAGTTTAAAGACAACAAAGTTTTAGTAACAAAAACGCAACCAAAACACAGAACACTGAACTATATGGAAGTCCGACAACCAACCGTTCAGTCAGACCAGTAAGAGGGGCGGAGCCAGCGGCTGGAGGAGTGGGGTTGTGCAGGAAAACTCCACTGGACCAACCCAGGTGCTGGCGGTGGTTGGAGGATCCCAGGTGTGGGGTTGCAATGGGCAGACCGAGTGAGGGCACAAGGTGGCAGGCTGACCACAGTCACACATTCGCGCGCAGATAAACCAGGCGAAGAAGCGAGCAGTGAGACGGCCCGCACATTTCCCAGTGGTGGGAAGCAGAACAGGAGACCGCCATTGCCCCACTTTGACCCTGCCCCCACATACAGTGTCACAACCCCGCCCCGGTGAACACCTAGGGCTCTGCCCCTCATATGTGTCAGGTGGGCACAGACCAAAACATTATGGCTCAAGAATAACTCAAAGCCCCAGAGCCAATAACTCTAAGCGATGAAGAAATAGCCAACCTATCAGATGTACCGTTCAAAACACTGGTGATCAGGATGCTCACAGAACTGGTTGATTTTAGCCACAAATTAGAGGAACAAATGAAGGCTAGACTAATTGAAATGAAGGGAAATGCACAGGAAACCAATAGTGATGGAAAGTAAAGTAAACTGGGACTCAAATCAAGGGAGCGGACCAGAAGCAAGGAAAAAATGACCAAACAGAAAAATATGAAGAAACAAGAATTCAAAAAAACGAGGAGAGGCTTAGGCACCTCCAGGACATCTTTAAACGTTCCAACATCCGAATTATAGGGGTACCAGAAGGGGGAAAGGAACAGCCACGAGTGGAACACTTATTTGAACAAATAATAAAGGAGAACTTCCCCAATCTGGTAAAGGCAATAGACTTCCAGGAAATTCAGGAAGCTCAGAGAGTACCAAAGAAGTTGGATCCAAGGAGGAACACTCCAAGGCACATCATAATTATATTAGTCAAGATTAAAATGAAGGAGAGAATCCTAGAAGCAGCAAGAGATAAGGGGACAGTCACCTACAAAGGAGTTCCCATTAGACTGTCAGCTGATTTCTCAAAAGAGACCTTACAGGCAAGAAGGGGCTGGAAAGAAATATTCCAAGTCATGAAATCCAAAGACCTACAACCAAGATTACTCTACCCAGCAAAGCTTTAATTTAGAATGGAAGGACAGATAAAGTGCTTCTCAGATAAGGTCAAGTTCAAGGAGTTCATCATCACCAAGCCCTTATTATATGAAATATTAAAGGGACTTATCTAAGAAAAAGAAGATAAAAAAGAACAGTGAAAGGACAACAAACTCACAGTTAGTAACAACCACACCTAAAACAAAAGCAAACTAAGAGGACAGCTAGATCAGGAGCAGAACCATAGAAATGAAGATCACATGGAGGGTTAGCAACAGGGGAGTGGGAGGAGGAGAAGCAGGGAGAAAGTACAGAAAATAAGTAGCATAGATGGTAGGTAGAAAATAGATAGGGGGAGAGCAAGAATAGTATGGGAAATATAGAATCTAAAGAACTTGTGACACATGGATAATGAACTAAAGGGAGGAATTGTGGAGGAAGTGGGTGTGCAGGGTGGAGGGGAATGAAGGGGGGAAGCAGGACAACTGTAATGGCATAATAAATAAAAGATATTAAAAAAAGAATTTCACAAAGTAGCTGACTTTTTTTTTGTATGTATCTGTTAAGAATTCTTCCTTCTTTTTTTTTTTTTTAAAAGGTTTTATTATTAGAGAGGAAGGGAAGGAGAAAGAGAGGGAAAGAAACATCGATGTGTGGTTGTCTCGCACATGCCCCCTACTGGCCAACAACCCAGGCATATGCCCTAGACTGGGAATTGAGCTGGGGACCCTTTGGTTCACAGGCTGGCACACAATCCACGAAGCCACATCAGCCAGGCCCTTCCTTTATTTTTTTAAAAGTATATTTTATTGATTATGCTACTTACAGTTGTTCCAATTTCCCACCTTTGTTCCCCTCTGCCTGGTACCATCCAGCAATCCCCCTGTAGTTTATGTCCATGGGTCATGCACGTAAGTTCTTTGGCTTCTCTATTCCTTATATTGTTCTTAACATCCCCCTGTCTATTTTGTACCTACCAATTATGCTTCTTAATCTATGTATCCTTTCCCTCATTCTCCCCTTCCCCTTCCTAGCTGATATTCCTCCAAATGATCTCCATATCTATGATTCTGTTTCTGTTTGATTATTTGCCTAGTTTCTTTTTTGTTTTCTTTTATTTTTTTTAATTTAATTAATTTATTTTTAGAGAGAGGAAAGGGAGGAGAAAGAGAGGGAGAGAAACATCAATGTGTGGTTGCCTCTCACATGGCCCCCACTGGGGATTTGGCCCTCAACCCAGGTATGTGCCTTGACTGGGAAACGAACCAACGACCACTTGGTTCGCAGCCCGCGCTCAATCCACTGAGCTACACCAGCCAGGGCTGTTTTGTTTTGTTTTGTTTTCTTTTTTAGATTCAATTGTTGATAGTTGTAAATTTGTTGTTATATTAATGTTCATAGTTTTGATCTTCTTTTTCTCAAATAAGTCCCTTTAATATTTCATACAATAATGGCTTGGTGATGATGAACTCCTTTACCTTTACCTGGTTTGGGAAGCACTTTATCTACCTTTCCATTTCAAATGATAGATTTGCTGGATAGAGTAATCTTGGTTGTAGGTCCTTGCTCTTCATCACTTTGAATTCCTTGCCAGTCCCTTCTTGCCTGTAAGGTTTCTTTTGAGAAATCAGCTGATAGCCTTATGGGAACTCCTTTGTAGGTAACTGTCTCCTTTTCTCTTGCTGCTTTTAAGATTCTCTCTTTATCTTTAACCTTTGGCATTTTAATTATGATGTGTCTTGGTGTGGTTCTCTTTGGATCCAACTTCTTTGGGACTCTGAGCTTTCTGGACTTCCTGGAAGTCTATTTTCTTCACCAAATTGGGGAATTTTTCCTTCATTATTTATTCAAATAAGTTTTCAGTTTCTTGCTCTTCCTTTTCTTCTTCTGGCACCTCTATGATTTGGATGTTGGCACTTTTGGAGATGGCCCAGAGTCTTCTTATTTTGTTTTTTTTTTTTTAATTCTTGTTTCTTCATTTTTTTCTGGTTGACTGTTTATTTCTTCATTATGTTCTAAATCATTTATTTGAACCCCAGTGTCCTTCCCTTCACTGTTGGTTCCCTGTGAATTTTTCTTTATTTCACTTAGTGTAG